TAATAGAATAAATGAATTCAGTAAAGTAGCAGGGCACAAAATTAATATACAGAAATTTATTGTGTTTCTATACACTAATAATGAACAGTAAGAAGGAGAAATTAAGAAAACAATCCTATTTACAACTGCATCAAAAAATAAAGTAAAAAACCTAAGAATAAATTTAACCAAGGTGGTAAAAGACCTGTACTCAGAAAATTATAAGATGTTAAGAAAGAAACTGAAGAGGACACAAATAAATGGAAGGCTGTACGGTGCTCATGGATTGGAAGGATTACTATTTTTTTAAATGACCATACTACCCAAAGCAATCTACAGATTCAATGCAACCCCTATTAAAATACTAACGACATTCTTCTTGGAACTAGAACAAATAATGCTAAAATTTATATGGAACCACAAAAGACCACAAATAGCCAAAGCAATCTTGAGAAAGAAGAACAAAGTTGGAGGTATCATGCTCCTTGACTTCAAACTATACTACTAAGCTATGATAGTATACAGTAAACAGTATAGTACTGACACAAAAACAGACACATAGATCAACAGAATGGAATAGAGAGCCCAGAAATAAATCCTCACTTATATGGTCAACTAATCTACAACAAAAGAGGCCAGAATATACAAGGAAAAATAACAGTCTCTTTAACAAGAGGAGTTGGAAAACTTGTACGACGAGCAAAAAAAAAAAAAGAAACTGGACCACTCTCTTACACATATACAAAAAAATCCTCAAAATGGATTAAAGACTTACATGTAAGACCTGAAACCATAAAACTCTTAGAAGGAAACATAGGTAGTAGGCTACTTGACATCGGTCTCAGTAATATCTTTATGGATTTGTCTCCTTGAGCAAATAAAACAAAAGCAATGATAAACAAGTGGGGCTTCATCAAACTAAAACTCTACATAGTGAAGGAAACCACCAACAAAATGAAAAGGGAACCTACTGAATGGGAGAAGATGTTTGCAAATGATCCATTCAATAAGAAGTTGATATCCAAAATATATAAAGAACTCATACAACTCAATAATAAAAAATAAACAATCCAAACAAAAAATGGGCAGAGAACATAGACATTTCTCCAAAGAACACATACAAGTGGCAAAAGACATACGAAAAGATGCTCAACATCACTAACTATTAGGGAAATGCAAATTAAAACTACGATGAGATACCACTTTACACCTGTCAGTATGGCTATCATCAATAAATCAAAAACAAGTGCTGGTGAGGATGTGGAGAAAAGGGAACCCTTGTGCACTGTTGGTGGGATCGCAAATGGTGCAGCCACTATGGAAAACAGTATGGAGGTTCCTCAAAAAATTAAAAATAGAACTATCTTATGACCCAGCAATTCCACTTCTGGGTATTTATCCAAAGAAATTCAAAATGCTAACTTGAAAAGATATATGCATCTCTATATTCATTGTAGCACTATTTACGATAACCAAGCTATGAAGCAATATAAGCATCCATCCTTAGACAATTGGATAAAGAAGATGTGATACATATATACAATGTAACATTGCTTGGCAATTAAAAAGAATGAAATCTTACCATTTGCGACAATATGGATGGACCAAGAGGGTATTATGCTAACTGAAATAAGTCAGAGAATGATAAATACCATATGATTTCACTTATATGTGAACTCTAAAAAGCAAAATAAACAAAATAGAAACAGACTCATAGATACAGAGGACAAACTGATAGTTGCCACATAGGAGGGAGTTTGGGGGATGGGTAAAAAGAGGGAAGGAATTAAGAGGTACAAATTGATAGTTACAAAATAGTCATGGGATGTAAAGTACAGCATAGGGAATATAATCGATAATATTGTAATAACTATATATGGTGCCAGGTGGCTACCAGACACCAGAGGGATCACTTTATATATTATACAAATGTCTAATCACTATGCTGTACACCTGAAATGAATATAAATACTGAATGTCAACTGTAATTAAAATACATATGTACATGCATACATACGTACATACATATTTAAAAAATCTAAATGGAACACTATGAGACAGATTGAAGGCTTTTTTTTTTTTTCACTTGTTCTCAGCCTCTAACTTCGTGAACCAGAATGTATAAGTGGTAAACTGCAGAAGCATAATGCAGACTGCAGTTAACTAAGTGAGCACAAATCAGCACCTGTTGGAGGCTGACTCAGCAGAAAAAAATCTCCTGACAGAGACCAAGGAGATTTCACGTGACACAAAACATGTCCCTGATCTGACCTTTCTTTGTATCCTGTATCTCAAGGGTATAAAGCATCTGTTTAAGTATGTCAGCTACACTGAAGATGGGACTTTACATGTCCTGGCCTAAAATTGGCCTCAAACAACAGATTCATTTTACAAATACTGCAATAAAGAACTTCATTCTCAAAAACAGTTACCTTTCACAGCAGTCCTGCCTTCCCCCAACAACCCCATTTAACTTGTTTATGCCTAAGATGCCTTATTATATGAACTTTCTTTTTTACAGAGGGTTACATTTTGCCTCAAAATTTCATACTGGGAAGTTATGTGAGCATACACCACTCCTGAGATTTTCCTTT